CTGAACACCTTTGGTGGCTTTAACAAATGAATGGACGCACCACGCTCTTGGAGAGGCTGGCTGGCTGGCTTTGGGAGGAGGTAAAGATGGCCGTGAAAGTGAGACCAAGCGTATGGAGGTGGACATCCATGCATGGTTCACTAGTGCTAGTCCTAGTCGTCTTCTTCTTCCTTTCTTTCTTTCGGAGCTCATCATGAGCTGTACTACAACACTGTGTAGTCATGATGCCAACTAAAGCGGCTTTTTCTTTCTTTCTTTTTGCACTTTTGCTAATTGTTGTTGCTGTCTTGCTCAACTGAGCTACAACTAAAGAGATTTTTCCTGCTGTGCCGCTCTTCACCTTCCTTCTCCTCCTCCTCCTCCTCCTAGCTCCTCCTGTTTTCTTTTCCGTGAGACCCAGCAGGAGGCGTCATTGGGCAACAATTTAGATCCGTGCAGCACGTGGATTTGGATTCTTCATCTGGAGATTTAGTTGTGCTGGTATGTGTAGGTCTTTGGTTTGGACTTTGGCATGGCACCATACAAAAACCGCTAGCTAGCCATATTATATGCTCTCTCTCTCTTGTCGACGCATGCATGCTCTTGCCTTGGAACCATAGAATTATATAACCAAAAGAAAGGAAACAAAAATATATACGAGGCGTGCTTTTAGTAACACAAAGCCTTTTTCTTCATAACGTAGTAGTACGTTTTTCACTTGTGAATGGAAACAAGCAAAAGCGAAGCAAGGCAGGCAGCAGCAACTCGATCGCTGATGAAGGAGATGACGGCGATGAAAAAAAAAATACAACGACGACGAAACACAAGATGACAAAGAGGAGGAAGACGACTACAAACAAAGTGTCATTCTATTTGTTCCCTCCCCTCCCCTCCCATGGTCAGCAGGATTATTACGACAACCCCTCCCATGCAATCATGCATGCATGGGCCATGATGATGGCTAGCTTCTTCACTGCAGCTCTCATGCAATGCAACCGAGGGTACGGTTAGTGGTGGCCGGCCTCCACCTCCGTCGTCACGCCAGTCGCCGGCCGCCCGCGAAACACCAGAGGAAAGATTGGCCACTGCATGCAACGCGATGCAAGTGCATCTTGTTAAGCTGTTATGGGTTTCGTTTGCCCGCCCGCCGTGCGTGCAGAGGAAGAGTTTGGACGGTATCGATAAGCTTGATATCGAATTCCTGCAGCCCGGG